AGAGCAGTAAAAGTGTGTGTTATTTATATTTCTTACTGTTATTTGAGCATGTAGTCGTGATTATAACCAGCATTGCAGTTAAAATACATACATAACTATAGTTTCGCAACTCCAGTTAGGCAAGTACAGTTTCAAATGCAGTTTTTCTGTACTCCTTTCCACCCGGGTACGTTTCTTTTCGTACAAATTTGTGCGCAAAATTGCATGATTTTATACAAATGAATGCACAAAAATGTTCAAATCAACGCAGAAAAGAGTGCAAAAGAATGATTGCTTGAATTCGTACAAATTAAAGATACAAAAACTATATTCAATATTATTATAGAAGGCGGGGTCCCCCGCCCGCAGCCCAGGGCCCAGCACCTCCAGAGGCGCGACCGGAGCGCGAGATGGATGTGGATGATGTCAGCGGGACCGGACCCACTGAGCGGCAGCAGGACAAGGCGGCCCTGCTCGCTGAAGCGCCGGGGGTGAGTGTGCGGCCGGACCACGGCGACCAGCCTCGCGGGCGGCACGGGCCGAGGAGCGGCGAGGCTCAGCGGCAGCCAGTCGCTGTGGCTCAGTCTGTCGCGCCCCCCTGACTGTGACAGCCCCTGAGAGTGACTCTGTTCTGCCGCAGGTGACCCGGCTGGCCAGGGTGTGGTGCGACGAGGACCCCGCCTGGAGCCTCCAGCTGCTGCAGCGCGCCGCGCCCACGCTGGAGCGGCTGGGTGTGGGCTGCGCCCTCGAGGCCCACCTGCGCGCGGTGCTCGCCATGCCGCGGCTGAGGAGGCTGGAGGTGATTTGTGATGATGGCCTGGTCGCCCAGCCCCCCGAGCTGCCCGCTCTGCCGCCGGGACACGCCGGCCTGCAGTGGCTCAGGGTGTTGTACCTCCCCCGCGCCACGTTACAGTCCCTGCTGCGGGCGCACGGCGGCACGCTGGAGGAGCTGGAGCTGGTGGTGGGCACGGCGGGGAGTGATGGGTGGCCACACAGCTGCGGCGACCTGCACTCGCTGCTGCAGCAGAGCGGGCTGCGGGCGCTCAAGACGCTCGTGCTGTGGAGGGAATCGGGCTGCAGCCACGAGCCAGCCGCCTGCTGGGAGCAGCAAGTCGATGTGTTTCGAGTGCTGCCCGGGGTCAAGGTGCTCTGCGACGACTGTCACACCATAGAGGTGTATAGGGAAGAGGTCTAGGGGCGCAGCGCGCAGCGCAGGCCGGACTGAACACTGTTACGTGTGCAGGAAGCCATTCTGCCATCTGACGGGGGGTTACATCGATGATGAATGGGGAGTGGGAAGAGAGGGAGCGAGGGGCATAATTAATCACGAGATTAATTACGTGTACAGATAAACGCATTTTTACTACATTTCAATAAACTGCGTTTTCGGGCCACCCTTCTTTTTAGCCCGCCCTTCTGCTTTGAAAAAGCTATCCAGCGGGCTTATGCAAACGACCTCGTGTGTGTCTGTCTGTGTGTCTGTCTGTCTGTCTGTGTGTCTGTCTGTCTGTTCCACTAGAAGGAGATGTGCTAGAGACTTGAAATTTTCAGGGTATCTTAAGGTCCACTTCTAGAGAACGAAACGCCTACGGCAAATCCTGGCAACCACCCTTAAGGGTGTGAATGGGGGTATGCAAGGTTCAAAAATTCTTCGAAAAAGTAATTTTTTTTATGTTCTTCTATGGGGTAACTCGTCAAAGTAGAGGCCTACGGAAGAAAATTTCGTCCGTTTTGCTCTATCTCTAACCGTTTAGGTGCTAGAGGGTCTTTTTTTTGACGAAAATAAGCTAAAAATTGCCATAGTTAACAATAAGTTGTAGTAAAAGGCCTAAAAACCGCAAAATAGAAAGGAAACTCTCCCCCCACCACCCAAAAACGTTTTCTAAGCAGAAGGGTGGGTTGTAGTCGCGGTGCTTCACCGTTACATCCCTTTCTCGAGGCTTCGGGGCAAACTCAAACACGACGGGTTTAAGCGGGCCGAAGGCCCGCTTAATCATTCGACCATGTTCTTCAGCAAATCGTGTGACAGAAATGGTCGGGCCGCAGGCCCGACCATCGCCGCCGGCAGGCCAAGCAGGCCCGGCCGCTGCCGAACGGAGTTGCCGGCGGAGCGAAGCGGAGCCCTACAGTGCAAGGCGGCGCGGAGCCCCTTACGGCGGCGGGGCGGGCCACCCGCTCGCGCGCGTGCCGGCGGGAGGCCTACCCGGGGCCCCGGGGCGTGTTCGTACGTACAGGGAGTAAATGTGTGAATTCAGGGGGCGGCAACGGCTCGGAAAGCGCCGTACCCACGTAGACAGCTGTAGACAGCTGTGTCATACCTACGCCGTACACGACCTAGCTCGAAAAGGATGGCTTTTCGAAAAATGTGTCATGACAGTAAATGAAGCCAATGAACCGCCGATGTACTGAGCTATCATTTTTGAAACTCGACGCCGAAGTTTACATTTTTGATTGTATCTCTGCAACCGTTGGTCCGAATTTCAAAAATGATAGCTCAGTACATCTGTCGGTTCCTGGGCTTCATTTACTGTCATGACACATTTTTCGAAAAGCCATCCTTTTCGAGCTAGGTCGTGTACGGTGTAGGTATGACACAGCTGTCTACCGCATGGGTACGGCGCTTTTCGGGCCGTTGCTGCCCCCTGAATTCACACACTTTTGCCTCCATGTGTGCGAAATGGCGCTCAAACGCACCTACAAGCGTGCGACATTCACACGCTTGGGTTTCCGGCAGCACTGCCGCCAACACGGGGCCACACGGGGCGGCAGCACAGTGCAGCAGGCGAGGCAGGGCGACAGTCAACAACTTCCCCTTTTTTCTCTTTTCGCCCAAAAC